ACTCTTTCTATGAAGCTCGCATTACTCTGACACCAGAGACTCTGAAAAAAAAAAAAAAAAAAAATGCCAAGAATTGTCAGCCACCACTAGAAGAGGGGCATAAAACAGATTCTCCCTCATAGCCCTCAGAAGGAATCAACATTGCCAACACTTTGGTTTCAGACTTCTCATCTCCCCAACTGCGAGAGAGTGCATTTTAGTTGCTTTAAGCCATCAGGCTTGTAGTACTTTGGTATGGCAGCCACTGGGGGATTAGGTCAGCCTCCTGGTTGCCCAGCTTACTGTGCTCAGCAGCTGGAGGTTTGGGTATGAGCCCGATGGTCATCTCTAAGGCACAAATAGCCGGGTGTAGTGGCTCACGCCTGTAATCCCAACACTTTAGGAGGTTGAAGTGGGTGGATCACTTGAGGCCAGGAGTTCAAGACCAGCCTGGGCAACACAGTGAGAACCCTGCCTCAACAACAAAAAAATTATTTTAATTAGCCCAATGTGGTGGTGTGCACCTGTAGTTGTAGCTGCTCAGAAGGCTAATGGGGAGGATTGCTTGAGCCCAGGAGCTGAAGACTAGCCTGGGCAATATAGCAAGACCCCATCTCTGAAAAAGAAATTATTTTACTTAGCCCAAGATGGTGGTGCACACTTGTAGTTCTAGCTACTCAGAAGGCTAGTGGGGAGGATTGCTCGAGTCCAGGAATTGGAGACTAGCCTGGGCAATCTAGCAAGACTCCATCTCTAAAACAGAAATTACTTTAATTAGTCCAACATGGTGGTGTGCACCTGTAGTTCTAGCGGCTCAGAAGGCTGCGGGGAGGATTGCTTGAGCTCAGGAGGTTGAGGCTGCAGTGAGCTATGGTGGTACCACTGCACTCCAGCCCTGCGTGACTGAAGTGATGAAACCCCCTGTCCTTAAAAAAAAAAAAAAAGACAGAGCCAGCAATTTGAGTGATGGATCTACAAGTTAAAGGAATGCCAAGAGGGCAGGCACATGGTGGCCAAGCCCTGTAATCTCAACACTTTAGGAGGCTGCGGGGAGGGGGTGGATCGACACCGACGGAAGTCGAGGAGATTCGAGGACCAGCCTGGCCAACAACGGTCTTGTGAAACCCCGTCTCTATCTAAAAAATACAAAAAATAGCCAGGCGAGGTGGGCCCATGGCCTGTAATCTCCCAGGTCTACTCGGCGAGGCTAAGGGCCCAGGAGATATTGCTTTGAACCTGGCAGGTGGGAGGTTGCCAGTGGCCGAGATCAATGCACTGCACTTAGCCTGGGGTGACAGACAAGAACTCTGGCCTCAAAAAAAAAAAAAAAAAAAAAAAAAAATGCCAAGAATTGTCCAGCCACACACTAGAAAGAGGGGGGCAATAAAAACAGATTCTCCCTCATAGCCCTCAGAAAGGAAAAAATCAACATTGCCAAACCACTTTGGTTTCAGACTTCTCATCTCCCCCAACTGCGAGAGAAGTGCAATTTTAGTTGCTTA